CTTGAGCCCAGGAGTTTGAGGTTGCTGTGAGCTAGGATGATGCCACAGCACTCTAGCCCGGGCAACACAGTGAGACTCTGTCTCAAAAAAAAAAAAAATTACCTGTTTGTGGCCAAGCTGTTGATTTGTGGGACAAAATGCTTTGTCTTGGTTGTATTCAGAGCCAGTACTAGTTCTACTTTGATTTCATTTTTTTACAATCCCAAGTTACACTTGTCCCAACATTTATTGGGACATTCAGTGTACGTACACACACTTTGGTGGGGCATGGTTGGTGATGAGTAGATTTCTCCACCTGGCCTGGGGTGCTCATTTTGAAGGAGTGGTTAAGACTTGTCCTGTTTGTGTTATTTTAATGATTAACCCAAGCAACCAATCCCATATTGAAGTATGGATTTTGGTTACTAGTCCTAATGTTGATTGATAGATATTTTTATCCTTTCTTTTCAAGAAACTCTATGTAAAATAGTTATGGTATGAGTCATTACTCTTTACCTTCAATTTTCTTTATATTGTACTGTTATTATATTTATGAGTTTATAGTGTTTTCTTTTTAGGTTTGGATAAAACTAGCTATATGTTATTAAACTATAGCTTAACAAGTGGATTATATATAAATAAATGAACACATAAGAAAGATGTATCAGCCAGTAGGAATAAATTAAGGTTGAGCAAATTTTAAGCATTGGAGTGGATACAGATTTTTTTTTTTTTTTTTAACCAGAGTCTTACTCACACCCAGGCTGGAATGCAGTGGTGCAATCATAGGTCACCGCAGCCTTGAACTCCTGGGCTCCAGTGATCCTCCTCCTTTAAGCCTCCTCCCTTAGCCTCCTGAGTAGCTGGGACTACAGGTGCATGCCGCCATGGCTGGCTAATTTTTTTATTTTTAAATTTTTTTGTAGAGACTGGGTCTTATTATATTGCCCAGGCTGGTCTTGAACTCCTAGGCTCAAGTGATCCTCCTGTCTTGGCCTCCCAAAGTGCTAGGGTTACAGGCTTGAGCTACCATGCCTAGCCAGATACAGATTCTTAATTAGGACATAAATTTATACAAACTAGCTTTTTATTGTTAATTTCATATTGACTTCTTGTAGTAGAAAAATGGTAGTAGTGTTTAATGAAGCAGACGATTTCCTAGAAACTTTCTGATTTTATGATTGAATGTGCATATTCTTTAGCTTAATTGAAAGCCAGCCAGAATCTTCATAAGCTCAGTGTTTTAGTTTGAGTTCAATGGTTTAAATTCCAAGTTGTGTTGATACTTGAAAATGAGAGTAGTAGCTGATTATTTTAAAGTTCTTGATCTTTTTTCTTCCTGTTTTAGTGCCATTCTTTCTTCGTACTTTTTAAGTGAAAGACTTAATCTTCACGGGAAAATTGGGTGTTTGCTAAGTATTCTAGGATCCACAGTTATGGTCATTCATGCTCCAAAAGAAGAGGAGATCGAGACTTTAAATGAAATGTCTCACAAGCTGGGTGATCCAGGTAAGAAAAGCTTTATTGGTGTTACTATGTTTTACTTCTTAGTTTTTACTTCAGTCAAAATATAATATGCAGGCTGGGCGTGGTGGCTCACACCTATAATCCTAGCACTCTGGGAGGCCGAGGTGAAACAATGGCTTGAGGTCAGGAATTCAAGACCAGCCTGAGCAAGAGCGAGACCCCGTCTCTACTAAAAATGGAAAGAAATTAGACAACTAAAAATATATAGAAAAAATTAGCCGGGCATGGTGGCACATGCCTGTAGTCCCAGCTACTCAGGAGGCTAAGGCGGAAGGATCGCTTGAGCCCAGGAGTTTGAGGTTGCTGTGAGCTAGACTGACGCCATGGCACTCTAGCCTGGGCAACAGAGTGAGACTCTGTCTCAAAAAAAAAAAAATTTTATATATATATATAATGTGCACATAAAGAGATAAATTGTCGTATATGGCTGATAATGAGAAATAGTAGTCATGTTTCCCACTCCCTCCTGTCCCTAACCCTTTGTTTCTTTTCTATTCTCAGTAATTTCAAACATGTGGTATTTTTAGTTTTATTTCTTCTAGAAACATCTCTTCCAGTGCTTCTGTCTGACCTCAGTCAAGGCTGTTTCGAGGCTACCAGCAGTTGTCATCTGTATTTTCCTTCAGCAGTATCCTGGCGATTCCCTTGACTAATTTGCTTTTTCCTGGATCCCTTCTTTTCCGAATCCTGGATTTACTCCTTAATAATGGTGGTGCTGCTGTAGTGGTAGAAGAGAAAGGGCACAGAGGAGATGGGAGTTTTTGAGACCTGGTGTATCTCAAAATGTCTTTAACCTACCATATTGCTGTTGAGAAATCAAAGGATGATTCTTTATCTTTTATATCTGACCAATTTTTTTGTCTTTGGATGCATGTTGGATGTTCTCTTTGTCCTTGGTGTCTGGAATTTCCTCTGACATGCCTAGATGTGGGTCCATTTTTGTCCATTGTGCTAGGTATCTGATGGGTCTTTTTTTTTTCTTTGAGTCAGAGTCTCGTTCTTTCATGCAGGCTGGAGTGCAGTGGCATCATCACAGCTCCTGGGCTCGAGACAGGCTGAGCTCCTGTCTCAGCCTCTCAAGTAGCTGGGACTACAGGCACATGCCACCACGCCCAGCTAATTTTTTGTAGAGATGGTCTCGCTCTTGCTCAGGCTGGTCTTGAGCTCGTGACCTCAAGCCATTGTCTTGCCTCGGCCTCCCAGAGTGCTAGGATTACAAGTGTGAGCCACCACACCTGGCCCTCATGGGTCTTTGTAATTTGAAAATTTATGCCTTACTCTGGGGAACTGAATTGAATTACTTCTTTGCTATTCTTTACTGTTTTCTCTTTGTTGAATTATTATTCATCTGTCATTTGGAACTCATGAGCTATATCATTAATTTTCTTATTTTTTTCCCCTCATTTTCACTATATTGCCTTTTTGCTCTGCCTTCTGGGAGATCTCCTCAGTTTTATCTTCCAGCCCTTCTTTTGAGTTTTTTTTTCTGCTTTTATATTTTTAATTTTTAAGTTTGCTTTGTTCTTTGATTCTTAGTTATTTTAAAGTCTTTGCTAACATCAGGATTATTTGTGGCCCTGCTTCTATGGTTTATTTTTTCTTTTGGCTTTTAGGCATTTAGTTTTGTCCTTTATCATTTTTGATTGAATGCTAGACATAGGATATTAAAAAGCGTAAAGGTTCTGAGTGGTGTGTTTTTCCTTCAGATAGTACTTAAATTTCTTCTGAAAGATGGGTAGGAGTATAGCAGATCACCTTCCCCTTGAAGGTGTTTTAAAGCTTTGTTGGGTCTGGTTTCTTTCCACTTCACCTTTGTTTTTGTTCATAGCCCTCTGCCTCTCAGCTGATATCTTTGGGTCTTGACTTGGGCCCTATTAACCTGGGGATCTGTGAGCTCTAGTACCTGCTCCTCAGTAAGACAAGACCACTGAAATCCTTACTCAGCCCTGTGGCCTGTTGGCCAGGCTTTCCACTTGGCTCCTCTGACTTTGGCTGTGCAGGTTATGTGCCCACAAAAGCCATAAGGGGAGAAATGTACACAGAAATTTGGGCTCCCTACTCTGTAGTTCCCTCCTTTCTGGATCTTGGCCTATTAAGTTCCACCTGCTAATAAGGCAGTCCCAAATTCCAACTTATTCCAACTTGTTTTTACCTAGTCCACTGAAAATTCCACAAGTTTTGACTGGCCTTTATGCCTATCCTTACCCGTTGCATTGGCTGTTGCCCCAGGGGAAAAAGCAGAAGTAAAGATTGGGCTGATATTTCTTTTTTCTGAATTTTGGCCCCTTAAGTCCTGGCTGCTTTGATTGCTCTTTAGTGCCCTCAAATAAATGTTTCTTTTTTGTTTGGGGGTTTTTTGTTGTGTTTTGTTTTTGTAGTTCATCCATTTTCTGTAGTTGCTTTAGGTTCAAGATTAGTCTGTATTTCATTATTGTCTCTCTGAGGATATTAATGGTAGTTTTCTTGGGTTTTGGGAGATGGTTTATTTATCTTGAAGTGTTTATTTATTTTACAGTTTTCTTCTGCCTGCATGGAAGAAACAAAGGCTTTGCTTTTTTCTGTTTGTTTTGGCCTCTCTCCTGGTGGTCTTTGCCTCCTTTTATTTAAGTTTGGCTGGTCAGATCCCCAGCAGAAAAGCTTACAGTTTCCTGCCTGGCCCTAGGTATCCAGGGAGTGGAGTCGGGAAGGAGGGGTTAATGCCCAGATGTACATCTTACCCTGGCTGGGTGTTCTCCAGTGCAGACACTGTCTGCTGGGGGAGGGGAGGGACAGTCTCCCAGACCTAGACATGAGTCTCATTGCTTCTTGAATGGACTTTGCAGCTAGGCCTCATTGTCAGTCTTGCTTTCACCCCCACTTCAGAGGTACTTTGTACCTTTGAGCATTCTGTGCTGCAAACTGAGTCACTTTTTAATCTTTGATCACTGCTAATATAGGATTTGGCTTTCTTGAATCTGCTATTAATCTATCAGTTATTAGTTGTCCTCTGCTTTCTGACTTATAAAATATTGTTGCTGTATCTCCTTTCCTATTTTTTGTGTATTTGCTTCTTTGGAAATCCTGGTATTGTTTATTAGTGGAATTTGAGGAAGGAACAGAGTAAATGCATGTCATTGCTCTGTGCCTCAGTTTCCTCATCTTAACATGTAAGTGTTTAGTAGTATCTGTGTTTTAGGGTAGTTGAGTGCAAATTACTGAGAAAAGTACCTGGTCGACAGTGCTGCAGTCATTGGCTTTTATCATGCTGGCTTCAGTTCTCCATGTTCAGCCAGAATGCCCACGATATTTTTACGTTCTCTAATTGTTTATTCCAGTAGTTGTCCCTAAATATTAAAAACTTTTGCCCCCTTTCTGAAAAACTAACTCTTCTGTTTTCAGCATCTATAAATTGTTGAGCACTCAAGGCCACCTCATGATTACTCTCCCTCTAGTGTCTGTCCCTGTTCTGATCCCACCTGTCCCCCGTGCCTTGTTAGAGCACTTAAGTAGGCATCAGATGCAACTTAAGAAATGTCAGTGGAATAACAATTTGTGAATATGAAGTAGGTTTTAATCTTTCAGCGTGTACAACTAACTAAATTCTTGGGATACTTTTGCTGGGCAGCAAAAATAAAGCCGATTTGTGTTTTCTGGCTATGCCTTTTCTCCTTCCGGTAAGAGTTTATTGTATTTTGTTTTGGATTTTCTGTGTTTAAGAACATCTGACTGAATATTTGATTAAATATAACTTTTCTTTGCCTCCCCCAGGTTTTGTGGTCTTTGCAACACTTGTGGTCATTGTGGCCTTGATACTAATCTTCGTGGTGGGTCCTCGCCATGGACAGACAAACATCCTTGTGTACATAACAATCTGCTCTGTAATCGGGGCGTTTTCCGTGTCCTGTGTGAAGGGCCTGGGCATCGCCATCAAGGAGCTATTTGCTGGGAAGCCTGTGCTGCAGCGCCCGCTGGCCTGGCTGCTGCTGCTGAGCCTGGTGGTCTGCGTGAGCACCCAGATCAACTACCTGAACAAGGCCCTGGACATATTCAACACATCCCTCGTGACGCCGATATATTACGTGTTCTTCACAACATCAGTCTTAACTTGTTCAGCTATTCTTTTTAAGGAGTGGCAAGATATGCCGGTTGATGATGTCATTGGTACTTTGAGTGGCTTTTTTACAATCATTGTGGGAATATTCTTGTTGCATGCCTTTAAAGACGTCAGCTTTAGTCTAGCAACTCTTCCTGTGTCTTTCCGAAAAGATGAAAAAGCAATGAATGGCAGTCTCTCTAATATGTATGAAGTTCTTAATAATAATGAAGAAAGCTTAACCTGTGGAATCGAACAACACAATGGTGAAAATATCTCCCGAAGAAATGGAAATCTGGCAGCTTTTTAAGAAAGGCGTAATTAAAAGGTCAGTCTATAATTCTGTTTAAAGTGATTTTGACTATCAGAATGTGTCTGAAAAAGCATTGTCCTCAAATGTTCTTTAAAGACAATCTTTTTTAAGGTTTAACTATTAATAATTTGGACCAGGAAATTACTTTTCTTATATTTTAAATGATGGTAGCTCACTAAAATGACTTCAAGTGCATGACCAGTTTCTGTTAACATTGTATTATTGTAGAGGTATTTTACATTTTGATTCCTTCTCCAAAATTTAAATGCACTAATGATAGTCTTAAATCTATTAAAAATGCTTTATTTTTTCATTGGTGATGAAAGTCTGAAATGTACATTTGTCATCCCCACTCCACCAATCCCTGACCATACAATTATGGCTTTTTTATTTTAAGAAAGAACAAAATTATCCCAGTACATGATCCCGTGATTTACCTTACCTGTCTGATGAATGATTTTAGTTTTGAAATGTTAGTTTAAGGAAAAACTAAGTTACTGAATGAAGTAAACTCTTACAAAACAAAAAAAGGTAGTAAATCATCCCAAGTATTTCTCAGGCTCTCACTTGTCACCACAAATCCGGTTTCCTGTGTGCATTCGATGGCCTTCTCAGAACAGCACCTTATCGAACCAGGGTACCCTGTGTCTGTTTGGCGGGGCTCTGCTTTGCAGCCTGACTGGGTTTATTCTTTAGTTCCTCTAATCCTGTGATCCTGGGAACCTTGATTACCATTTTACATCAACTCTTATACTTTTCAGTATATTTTCATAATGAGTTATATTGTCATTTAAACCTAACAACTCTGAGAAATAAAATCAGAAGACTAGGGTTATTTCTTACGTTTAGCTCATGTTATGATAAAAAGACAAGTCTAAACAATATTCTTTTCTAAGTCTGAATGCTTAGAACAAAATTTAAATGTTTGTAAAATACCAAGTATTTTACTTTGCTTAAGAGTTTGTTGGGACCACTATAAATTTTGCTATTATTTAGAAAATGCTTACAAAAAAATGCTTATGGAAAATTTCAAAGAACATATATGCAAAAAAAGTAGAATAATAAAAAAGGTGTAATGAACTCTATCCAGCTTTAAACCTCTCCACCCCTAGCCATTGATTAATTCTATCCACACTTTTTTTAAAGAGCCAATTTCTACCTGGGTGGTGGGAAGGACACGGGCTCAGGCCTATCCCAGTCTGCTGCTCCTGCCTGGTTACACAGTGACGGGTCAGCACTGAGTCACCCTCGGCACTTCCCAGGGCTCCCCTGCCTGTGGTGCTGACATCCCATGCAGCCCTCCGTTGGCTGCACCATGGGCAGGGGAGCCCAGGAGCTGTTTTAGATACTTTTTCCTGCCTCCTTCCCATGTAATTTTTTTTGTTCTTGGTAGAGACAGGGTCTTGCTATATTGTCCAGGCTGGTCTTAAACTCGTATCCTCAAGCGATCCTCCCACCTTGGCCTCCCAAAGTACTGGGTTACAGGTGTGAGCCACTGCACCCAGTCAAACCCCCATGTAATTTTAATACCACAGATATACTATATATTTATGTACTGTATCTGTGCTTTGTACATAAAAGAACCAATTTTCACTCCCTTGGGGGTGGCAGGACCATCACTGAGAATGCATAGGTTAAGTAAAACTAATAAACTCTTATTAACATTTTATAGTACTTTATCGTATACGTAAGTATTCATTTTATTTGGTATATAATTGTCTTATAAAACTTGATAATACAGTTACTAATTACAGTAATTTTTCATTATATTCTGTACTTTATAGGGTGAGCACGGATATCACCTCTTAATCTGTAGCACAGTGCTGGCCCCAGGGTTAATTCACATTACCAAAAGCAACATCTTTAGTTAACTTTATAAACAACAGTTCTGTTAAACTTCATGTAACTCAGGGTCAACAGTACAACAGTTCATATGCTTTCTGTGCCATGCTTGATGCTCCTAGACTTCGGTGTTAAGTTTCCAAAGGCATAGGAAGGTACTACTTTTTATGGCAATATGGCATCCATAGAAAATTTTAGCATTGCTGAATTTTGTGACACTCTATGTAAAATGACTGCCAGGTTAAGATGTAAAATAAGTTCGCTTAATAATGTTAGTCTTGTATTTGTCTGTATTATTTACTTACAATAGACACTTTTTTCCATTCGATTAGGATTTTCAGAAACTTGTTGCCTTAATACTTTAAAATTTGGCTTTAGTTTCTCAATTCTTATCCATTTCTATGACTCTAATAGTATACTAGACTCTGATTATCTTTCATTTTGACAGATCACATGAACTAACTCCAGCCACATGAAGCAATTCAATTCACCCAGTAGTTGGGAAGGCCAGCTGAGGGCTGTTAGGGATGGGACTCAAATTCTCCTGTGTCCCTTTTGTGCATCACCTGCTGTCCCAGGTCAGTCTCCTTCTCCCAAGCTGCCAGCCTCTCCAAGTCACTTGTAACATAGAGGCACTTAGAGCTCTCCTGTGCTGGAGTGGCCGGCACAACTGCTGTTTTACATCTCATTTGCCTGTGGAAACCTAAATATAAAGCTAACCACGTGTGCAGGCAAGAAAAGCCGTGTGCTGAATAGCACAATCTTGTCCTACCTTGTAACCCTGGAGGTGCCCTGGACTCTGACCTGGGCCCAGCCTATGAGCTCAGATAATTAGAGTACCTAGCCCAAGCCAAGCTGCACACAGGGTTGTAGAGTGAAGGAATGAGCAAAAATAAATTTCATTAGTTTTATTTAAGTCATACCTCACAAATTAGATTTTGTCACAACTGGATTTAGTAGAAGCAGATAAATCAAGTTCACTATTTTCTGAAACACTGCCACAAAAAAGGGAGGGGAACAATGACTTAGAAAAGATTGTTCATAAAAGACCATCAGAAAAATCCCTAAACAAAAGCTAAATAGTTAATCATTAATGGTAATTGGTAAAGAATTTTAATACATTAGCTGGTATTAAGTTTTGTAAGAAGAGATAAATGAATGCACTCAGCAGCATTTTATGACAGCTGCTAGAACATTCCGTAGAAAAACTGAGAATAATTTTGTAAGAACACAATGGCAACAACCAGCAGCCAGTATTCTCAGACTTCCTAGTTACCAAAAGCAATATACAATCTTAGTCTAGAAAAATAAGTCAATTTTATAAAATTAAGAAGCACCCCCTTTAACAGGTACAGAGATACTGAAAAATAGTCCCTAAAAATCTCACTAAATAGTTTACAGAACGAAAAACATGCCATTAGAGTTACCAAATGCCCTCGGCCCAGGCAGGTGCCCTCAGCTGCTGGCCAGAGACTGGTGGATGGGTGGCTGGAAGCAGCGCACATGCTCCACAGGTGTGCTCTCCCCATCCCCTGACTTCAGGTACTTGTCCAGGATGGTGATGATCTCATCATTGAGAATCTGGAACTTGCGAATTCTCTCCACCATCTTCTTCAAAGGCTACGACAATGAAAGTCAAGAGGTTTTACTATTAATACTTGTCATGTTCAAAATGTCAGGATTTTCATATTTTCTCAGAAAAACTACAGCAAATGGTAATGACATATACTATCTCTTTAATGCAACTATTGGAACAATGAATATATTTTGAATTTAAACATATTTCTCTTGTTGGTTTCATGCTGCTGTGGATTCACTCATTTGTACAACTTACAAGCCTATGCAGCATTCAACAATCAGCAATTAAAAACCTACTGCCTGATAAAAAGCTGGGAAATGATGATACGGTGAGTGGAGAAAGACCAGTAAACTAATATAATACAAATTTTAGATTTCCAGTTTGGTAATATTGTGCACAGGATGCTTTGACAGACCCTCCTTCTGTAACAGACCTGGATAAGGAATACACACAAAGTGAAAACTCATGAAAGCATTGCTGGTTCTGCTTGTGCAGGTGGGAAAGCACAAGCCAGGGCTTCCTCAGGCGCAGACGCTAACAGCAGCAGCAGGGTGAGGAGACAGCTGGGCTACACCTGGGGACTGTGAAGCCAGGACCCTCTGATTAGACTAACGTGACCCAGGCTGGTAACAGCCCCTGGAGAAGAGCAGCAGAAAATGCAGCTCTTGGGAGGAAAGCAATCTAATTAAGTTTGATCAAATAAGAGCTCCCAAATAAAAAAATCTAATACACAAGGAAATGTTTCAGATACCCCCAAGGCCTTCAGATACTAGAATTAAAAGATATCAAATATAAATTACATGAAATGTGTAAAGAAATAAGAGATGGAAAAAAAATTCAGTTAAGATAAAATTACCCATTTAAAGAACCAAAATGAACTTTAAAAAAATAATTTTTGAAAATAAAAACCCAGCAGATCAGACACAGCTGAAGTGAATGAATTACCTGAGCCATCTGAAGAAAGCACTCTGGATACGGCCCTGAGAGCCAAGGACATGGGGGCATGCAAGGCAGAACAGTCCCTCAGACACCCACGCCCAACCCTAGAACCTGCGAGTGTGCTGCCTTACGTGGCAAAGGAGCCCTGCAGGTGAGGCTAAGGTTATGGACTTTAAGGTAGAGAGCGTATCCTGGGTTGTCCAGGTGGACCCAATCTAATCACATGCGCAGAGAACATTCTCTAGCTGGAGGCAGAAGAGATGTGGCAGAAGTGAACGTCGGAAGATTAGAAGTGGAGACTGCTCGAGCTGCTGTTGCTGGAGGGGCCACGTGTAAAGCATGAAAGGGGAGGGGACCTAAGTCCTCCCACTTCAAGGAATTGAGTTCAGCCAACTACCTGAGTGAGCCTGGAAGCAGATTCATCCCCAGAGGCTCCAGGGGGAACACACCCCCACTGACACGCTGATTTGGGCTTTGTGAGACTGTAAGTGGAGGACACAGCTGGGCCATGCTGTGCCCAGACTTCTGACCTAGAGAACTGTGAGATAACAAATGGTGTTTAAACCACTAAGCCTGTGGTGACTTGTTATGGGAGCAAGAGAAAATTAATACAACAGGGTGAGGGATGTGGAGAACAGTATAAGAAGGTCTAACGTGTGTAACTGAAGTCCTGAAAGAAAAGAGTAGAGAGAATGGAAGAAAGGTTAAAATATTTGAAAAGATAATGGCTAAATATTTTCTAGAATTCAGCTACAAGGAATCCATAAAATGATCTTAAAAGCAATCAACCACACTTTGACTTGTAGGAAGCCAGAAGACTGGAATAGTATGCCAATATTCAGAAAACACAGATCCTATATTCTGTAAGGTGAGATATGAAGTAGATGTAAGTACTTAGGAAATGGAGCAGTTAGTATTTTATCTGCCAGACTGCTTTACTTGACAATTATATTTAGATTCATTCTGGGAATGAAAAGAAAGCTTCAGGTGGTGGTACCTTATGTACTACAATGAAAAACATCCCCAGAAACAAGAACTTAAATAGCAAGTACACTTTTGCAAAAGGTCTGCATATGGTGGAAGACTTTTTCCACATACCACATTTTTGATAATCTCATCTTTGCCATCATGTTTCTGAACTTTAAGTAGATGGTAGCAGAAATCCAGTACAGCAAAACGCCGCTGTTGCCCGAGAAGTACAATGATCATACAGCCAGCCCAGTGCAGCCCGTCACCAAAGCACTGCCTGGAAACAAAAAGCAATAAATAGAATGAGATGAACAAGAAATTGCAAAGTTTCCTGAGTCTGTCTCCACACGTCACTGGCCAAGCCATCTGCGTTACTGTCTTTGCCCACGTGGTCAACTTCCACAGCCGGGAGAGTGCTGAGAAGCAGGTGACTGTTCCTTATTTTTGGTAAAACCTTTTTTCAGTTCCTCTGGTATGCTCTTTCCTGACCTTTTTTAGATCATAGCCCCTCTGTGAAGAATGACTTTATGAAACTCCCACCTAGAAAAATGCACACCCAGTTTGCACACACTTGAAGTGGGTTCAGAGATTCCTGCATACTAGAGCCCTGAGTCGGCTCTTGGCATCGAGTAAGAAGCCCCACTTAGGAGGCTTAAAGCAGCGCAGCAAGTTTCTGGTCCACGTTCCCAGCAGTGCAGTCGCTGTGTTAGCCTAACACCTACCTCTGTTTCCCAACCTGCTCCCCAGCAGCTCCTCCCTCTCCCGTGAACTCTGCCCTGCCCCAAAGTGTCCCACTGAGCACTCACTCGACTGTGAACTCGTGTGTCCCCACAGGGATGCAGTACACAAACTGCATGGCACTCCACAGTCTGTGAAACTCGACACACTCGTCCACATGCATGACCCCGTTGCTGGGCAGAGGCCCACGCCAGATGGGGTCATCCAGGAAGGTCCGAATCCGCGTCAAGATTACTTCGAACATAGACAGACCACAGCAGAGACGTTCCTTTGTCAGCAAGTCCCCCTCTCTGGCGATGGCAATTTGCTACAGAAAGGACAAGCAGTGGAATTCATGGGCCACAGCAGGAAAGCTCTGACATCACACTACCCCAGTTCTGTTACATCTTAATGGAAAACCATCTTACCTGCAGAAGAGGATTTTAGAAGCATCAACAAAATAATTGTGTCAGCAATTACCTAAGTGTCTTATAAGATTAAATATATTTTACAGTCAAAGGGAGTTGAATACAGCCATTCTTAACTGGGAGTGATCTTGCCTCCAAGAGACACTTGGCAATGTTCAGAGTCATTTTTTACTGTCACAACTTGGGATAGGTCTACTGGCATCTGGTGGGTAGAGGCCAGTGATGCTGCTAAACATCCCACAATGCACACATCCCACATTATACAGGACACAACACACACATCCCACAATGCACAGGACAGCTCCCACCACAGAGAATTATCTGGTCCAAAACGGCAACAGTGCTGAGGTTGAGAACCCCGGCACAGTGTGAGCTGATAGATAACTGTAGAACTCTGCCTTCTGCCTCCTGCCCCTATTTCTACTGTTCTTAAAAACTATGAAAAAGCTTTCTTCATTAAGGGATGGACAGTGACAACAGCAAGTGACATTTATTGTTTGTGTTTGAATTTTAGTTACTTTTAATTAATTTAAATATAGACACAGGTTGGTAGCAGCACTGAACTCTGTTTTCTAGCACTTACCAGCCGGCAGACCCTCTACCCCTCCCTGCTAATTTGACACCAACAGTATATGCTAGGTCACGTGCTAGGCCCCGTACACGTACTGGCTCATTTAAGCTTCACACCCACCCCGTGACACTGAGGCCCAAGGGGCTGAGCAGCCTGCTGGACCTGCAATGCCTTCCCTTCTGCGTCCCAACACGGCCATACGGATGCCCAGCTTGCCACTGCCACAGCTGTCACAGCGCCTTTACCTGAGGGGTCCCGAGCCTTTCGATCAGCGGAACAAGATGCAGCGGGGCGTACTTTGATTCGAGTCTTTTCATTTTGGCATCAAGTCTCTCCCCCTCTGCAGTAGAAAAAAATGTTATATTCTGCTCCTTTGTATGAAAGAATAATTGCAAAAGTTTGAATTTGTTAAAAAAAAAAAAAAAACCAAGATTTTTAAGTTAACATTATGTATACAGATTCTCTTTGAAAATTCTTTTACAGAACTGGCCGTCTCATTTGATCTTTTAATTCAAACTGTCAGGACTGATTTTCTGCTCAGTATTCACTTTTTAAAAAAACTTACTGAAAATTCCAAATGTCATCGAAAGCAGAATAGTACAGTAAACCTCCATACCCATCATCCACTATAAAGGTTATCAACTCATGGCCACTCTCATTTCATATATACCCAACTCCCCCTGCCCATGCTATTTTGAAGCAAATCTAAACGTATCACTTCAGCCATAAATGTTTCAGGTCCTTGAAATGCACTTTACTAGGTTCTACACACTCTCCCGGGTGCCCCCGGTTATGACTGAACAGGCAGCAAACCCATGATCCGCGCTGGCCTGCGGCTCTGGCCACACCTGCACAGGAGAGCTTCGACACCCTGGTTGGGGGACGCACAGGCTCACCTTTCACATGGACTCGTGGCAAGATGTTCTGGAAAGGAGCTGCGTGCAACAGGTCACACACTTCTTCTAAAGACTAGACGAAAAGAGAACGTCAGGAAGTGTACCTCACTGCAAAGACAGAAACCTGGTGCTGCAAACAAGGTTCATCTCTGCCTTTTAGTGTAAAATAGACTCTAAGTGGCCTGTCAGGAGAACGCTCTGGGATGACGAAAATATCCCAAATCTGTGTCGTCTACTACAGTAGCCACCAGCCACATGTGGCTATTAAGTACTTGGAATGTGGCCAGTGTGCCTGAGGAACTGCATTTTGAATTTTAGTTACTTTTAATTAATTTAAATATAGACACAGGTCAGTAGCAGCACTGAACTCTGTTTTTTAGCACTTACCGGCCAGCAGACCCTCTACCCCGCCCTGCTAATTTGACACCAGCCTCTTAAGAACCACAGTTAGAACAAGACTCCACTGCACTCACACAGTGGGCACATCTGCAAACAGCACAGGAGGCGAGAGGAACGGGAAGCATCACCCTGGTACCCAGCATTGGCTCGTTGCCCACAGAACCCAGAATGTTGCGAGCCAACACCCTGAACCTGCTCTTGCATCACAGACTCCTCTGCAGAGGTAATAGCCCTACACGAGGTCCGTTCTTCAGAACAGTGCTTGTGTAGAGAGGTTGCAGAGCCCCCCTACACCCACCACGGACCTGAAGACGGTCAACACAGAGCAAGCGCTGCCCACCTGCAGGCGTGAGAGCTCTCGGACCGCAGGAAGGGCCTCTCCAGATTGTGGAGAATCACACCGCAGGGCAGGCCGAGGACGGTAAGGAGCTTTCAGAGCCTCCTGTTCTACACTCATCCTGAAATCCTAGAATCCCATAGTAATGAAATCAATGATTGAACAAAGAAATGGCTATCAGAAAGCCAAGACATACACCACTAATGATTCTACCTCCTCAGATCTCCCCAAACACTAAAAGGAAAAAGAGAAGACTTTTCCATACTCATCAAGCAATGCCCCGCTGCCACTTATAAACCTATTGCCAGCTGCCAGTCAGCCACCACCTGCCATCAGGACACTCAGAATGTAGACTGAGCACCCCACACGCACCTTCCATCCCGAAGACCAGCACCCGAGCAGCCTCCCTGGGCTCTTCACTGGGACATGCGTCCCAGGAGCCAACTTGGAGCGACTGCAGGTGGCCTGTTCCCTTGGGGCCTCTGATCCAGGGGAGGAGCAGACAACCAAGACAGGGGAAGAAGAGGGACCAGATAGTGACAGCACACCGTGCACACGGGTGACATTGTGGAGCACTGAGTGACGTCGGGGAGCACTGAGTGGCTGCAGGAAGGATGAGTGGCTACAGGAAGGACGAGCGTCATATCATCTGACATGCAGAGTGTGCAGGACATGCTTCCACCAAGTGGGAAAAGCAGAGCAGGGAGGGGCGATGGGCCCACCTGTGAGCAGCTGGCCTGGCTAGATGAGGTGACAGGCCCCCACACGGCAGCTCGGCCAGTGATAGAGGATGGGATGTGGGGTGTGGTGGGCCACGCAGGCACCACCATCACTGAGCTCAAACTTTTGCCCCCAAACCAAACCAGAAAAAGTGAGAATAGCTATAAAAACCAGCATGGAAAGCAAACGAGCAGTCTAAAACCATTCTAAAACAGAGTTGATTAATCACACACACGCATGCACGCGACATACGCACTGAAGAACTGTATTACCAGAATTTTCAGGTTGGGTTTAGGGAACAGGATTTAAAAAACAGCATGAAACAATCCTTCAGAAGGCTGGAAGATGAATCTACCCAATGTACAGATTCAAAACAAGATCAACTTTTGTTCTAAAATAAAACCAAATCCTGGTGCCAGTCCCAGCCACCACAGCCTCAAGGGACGGGCCCCGGGGCAGCTGTCTCACCATAGGTGTCACCCACCTTACGCTGGAGCTCTCAGGCCAAGGAGAGTGGCACAGGGCTCCCTGCCACTACTCAAATGTATTCTGCAAGGCTGTGCCCTCAGGAAGGCTCAGCCTGCCCTGCCCCCACCCGAGGCCAGCACCTTCAGGCCTGGACACACACGGATGCTGCAGCTGGGACATGGTTTGTTCCCACCAACTCAAGTGCAAGGTTAATTGCCAACATAGTGGTGTTGGGAGCTGGTGCCTTTGAGAGGTGATGAGGTTCGTTCCCCCACAGCAGGTGCCTGCACACGAAGCTGCCCTCGTGTTTATGCTGTGCACCACCTGCCATCCCTTCCACGTGACCCTCACGTACCTGCCTGATTGGGGGCTTCCCAGCCTGCAGAATCGTGAGCCACACACGCTTCTTCTGACTCCCTCAGTCGCAGGTATTTTTACAGCAGCACACAACAGACTAGAGATAGATCGTACTTTCACACTGTGTGTTCTGAAAAAGCTGCCCATGAAGGGAACTGCCTATATCAAATATTTAAAATTCAAGATGAGAAATTATCATTTAAAGGAATTTGTCCTAGTTTATCTGGCTTTTAGAAATTCACATTTATTTGGTGAACATGTTTTTAGAGTGAGGCTGCCCTGGACATCAGCCTCTTGCTGATCCATGACTCAGGTGGGTTCTCTGTCTCACGCCCACTGCTCCCACTGTGGGGAGGCTGTTCACTTGGGGTCCCCACTGAGCCCACGGGTGGCTGGGACCACGAGGGTCTGGGCTGCTGCAGAAAAGGTCTCCTGGGCGTGCAGGGACAGAGGGGAGCTGAAGGACCCAGGTCTGATGAAGGCTGTCAGCTCCCAGATGTGTCTATGCCTGACCCTGGACTCCCCTGACATGTGAGCCAACACATTCTTTTTCCACATACACTAGTGTATGACAGCTGATCCCATGGCTCAGCCCCTAGAGGCCTGGCAGTCTGACTGCCACACCCTGAACTGCGTACAAGGCGCCCCAGCACTGCCCTCCCAAAACACGACTCTGCTTCCACAAAGTCCCCAGGGACCTGGAGGTAAGAGGCTGCTTTAAGAAGCAACATAGCAAAGGTCTCCCAGATAGGTCTAGAGGAGGACTGAAATTACCCTGGACAAGCCAACGTGCCTCTTCAATACACCTGGCAAGCCGCTTCTGAAACTCACAGGGCAGAGCGAAGATCTGTGAAGTGGCTACGTCCTCATGAAGAGGAGAAAGGCAAGGAGACGTGCCTGTCAGGTACCAAGAATTACAAGAGGGCTGCAATGAGTAAAACAACATGGTACTATGGCCGAGACAGATGTTCGGACCGGTGGGATGTGGCAGAAACCCAGGAGACAGACTGGTGCACCCACAGGATGCTGCGGACAGCAGGTGACAGCCTGGTCAGCAGAGGAAGGAGGAGCCCTTTAGCCATGGGGATGAGGGACAACTGGTTACTCCACAAGGGGAAAGAAAAGCTTTATCCACATCTCACTTTACACACAAAACCCATTTCCAGGAGCATCACAGATTTTAAAGCAGAAGGCAAAACTTAAACCCTTAAGTGAGAATGTAAGAGAATGACCTCATGACCTGTAGGTAGGGAAAAATGTCTTTAAAAAGATACAAAAAATGCTAATCATAAAAAACAAAGACTACATTCAAATTAAGACCATTTTATCCAAAACCACCACTGTCGGAGTGAAAAGAAAAGCCACAAGCAGAAGTATCTGCAATACATGTAACACATAAAGGACACACAATGAACTTCTATAAATGAGCTATAGAAAAACGGGAAAGAACCAAATGTCCCATTTGACAGAAAAATAAGAGCCAATGAAGACACGGAGATGCCACCTCAGTGGTCATGAGGGAAAGGCAGAAGAGATTCCATTTCACACTGGGTTTCCCATTCAGGCGGTTACAAAGGATCAGCTGATGGGATGTGCAGGGGACGGAGGAACAGGCAAAATGACACCATGGGGGACAATCAGTCAACTCAACGTGTCCACTGTGCCATGTCCTGAGTGGTGGTAGGCTCCTAGGTGTCCCCCATTACACTGTCCGCTTGTGCTGCCCACCACGGCAGCCACAGGGCACATGCAGCATTTAAATTTAAATCAGGCCAGGCGCGGTGGCTCACGCCTGTAATCCTAGCACTCTGGGAGGCCGAGGAGGGCGGATTGTTTGAGCTCAGGAGTTCGAAACCAGCCTGAGCAAGAGTGAGACCCCGTCTCTACTAAAAATAGAAAGAAATTAATTGGACAACTAAAAATATATAGAAAAAATTAGCCGGGCATGGTGGCACATGCCTGTAGTCCCAGCTACTCGGGAGGCTGAGACAGAAGGATCGCTTGAACCCAGGAGTTTGAGGTTGCTGTGAGCTAGGACGCCACGGCACTCTAGCCCGGGCAACACAGTGAGACTCTGTCTCAAAAAAAAAAAAAATTTAAATCAGTTAAAAAAATTTAGTAAAATTTAAAAATCAGTTGCTCAGTCACACGGAGCCACATTTCAGTTGCTTAACAGCCTCACGATGCAGAGCGTTCTCCTGGGCAGCAAGGCTTTATACCTTTCAGGTCCGTCAGCTATGTTAGCACAGACGTCACAAATATCAGATCATAAAGTATTTTCACAGTGTTCATCTAGGAAAACACTCTTCAAACAACTAACTCCATTATACTTTTGTCTTTCAATTGTAGGGAACAAATTCAAATTAAAGTCTCAATAATCATGAAAAAAGAATGGTGCTTTACAACGGTGGTCCCCAAACCCTGGTCCCCAGAGCTCTGCAGCACCTTCCCCCCCACAGCCCCAGTCCATGGAAAAATTGTCTTCCATGAAACTTAGGAAGGGGGACCACACAGCAGGAGGGGAGCGGCGGGCGAGGGAGCCAGGCTTCATCTGTATTTACAGCTGCTCCCCATCACTTGCCAGCCCCATACCACCCCGGTCCGTGGAAAAACTGTCTTCCATGGAACTGGTCCTGGTTCCTGATGCCAAAAAGGTTGGGGACCGCTGCTTTACAACACTGCCCCTGACCCCCACTAAAGAACTCCCAATAAAAAAAAACCTTCCTCTGTCGCTGCGGGGGAGCATCCTGGGGCAGGCTGGGCTGGGCACTCACCAGGCTCTGCTCAATGAGCAGGCAGAAGAGGACGGCATTCCCCACCTCCCGTAGGTTCTGGAAGCACACCGTCTTCAGCTCTGCGTACTCCACGATGTCCTTCAGCTGGTGGTGGAAGAACTCCAGGATGCCTGTGGTGGCAAAAGCAAGAGGCTGGGTTGGGGGAGGCCCGACAGACGTCCCCAGGCCACGCAGTCCTGGGCCTTGGCTCACACACCTCTTCCCCAGGCCCCTTACAGAGGCTATGAGGATAGGAATGTCACCATGTCACAAGAATAAGGGGCAGAAACCACATCATCATCTTCAGTGGAGCCAGAGAAGGTAATTGGTAAAATTCACTATCTCTTCACAGCACAGAAGGGAAAGCACCTAATCTGACACAGGGCATCTGCAAACCTATACAGCTGCCGCCACACCCAACGGGGAAGCCTGCACGCTCCAGAGCAAGACGGGTGTCGCATGGATGTTCCGGTCAGGCAGTGAGACACAGAAAGGTGCAAGGCATAAACCCTGGAGAGCTGATGCTCCGTGACCTGATCGGTAGATTCATTGCTAACCTGTCAAAAACTGACAGACTGACTCCAAAGTGTGGTCACACAGAAGACCTAGGAGAGCCGAAGCTACTCTGGGAAGAACGAAGCTGGAGACGCCACAGACCACAAACTCCTCATTCCAACTGGATCCGCCCGTGTGGCCACCTGAGACCGCACCTTCCTCACCACAGTCATGCCCAGTTCCCCCACCTCGTTGTCACCATGGTGTGAGCTCGGACCCGTGCCCTGGCCAGCCCCCAACAAGCAGGCAGGAGAGGAGCCGAGAGCAGCCACCTGCACACTTGGCTTTCCCACACAACTTGGCCTAAAAATTCCCATCTCTAGTCAGGACATGAGCATTAGTTGTATTATCCCAACATTCCTCATCTACCTTCTGACAATAAATTAAAACTAGATTCTCCTAAGCAAGGGCCACATTGATGGTTATTTCCCTTCACAGCGGCCAAGGGGGACCGGTCACTGTCCCCTCAAACACTGGCCACACTGTGGGCACCGGGCAGCGTCCAGGAGCTCGGCCAGATGGCCCATCAGGACAGTCTCTCATCGGTCACCTGTGTGTGGGATCAAGTCACTTAACAAGACAAGGCCAATGTGCAACTGTCCAGCTTTCAAGAAAACATTACCAGATAAGAGACAAAAGGTGGTTTTGTTAGTGAAAAAGTTTCCTATAGTCCAATTTTATCATGAAGCAATACCTTTTGAGATCATTAAAGCAATCTATTTGGATAATCCCCAACCAGCGTACGAGCCACGCAAGCCTGGCCCCTCAACAGCACATCTGCCCGAGGGCCCCACGGCCTGTAAGCAGGACAGCCTGAGCCAGAGGGCAAGCCTGCCAGACGGACAGACAGGACTGTCTGGACAGGGAGGGGAGAAGGGGACCCTCTATAGCCTTCTCTGAGGCTCAGTCCCCCCTAAACCCAGCAGGACATGGCAGTGGAGCTCTCGACACTGGCCTGGGGAGAGATTCTTCTGCAGAAGAGCTGGGGAGGGCAGTGCCCAGAACCCTGTCACCTCTCACTACCTGACCCTCCCTGGATGGTCTCATGGGGCCCTCAGCTTCCTCATCTGCAAACGGTGACCCCAACATACCTGCCACACATCCACTTCCTGGTGGTAAGATTCATTTCTTCTACCGTAAGCAACTGGGCTCTATTTGGGCATCCCTACTCCTCCCACACGGGAAAGGTAAATCTAATCCTTTTCAACAGTCTCTGACCTGAATTCCTTTACTGTGGTCTAAGGGCTGGGCTTTCCCTCCTCTCCAGCGACACGACCACAAGCTCCGAGCAGGCAGCGGGGCACAGTCACGCCCAGCCCAGGGCCTGCACTTACCAGGAGAGCCATACTCGTGCCGGGGCAGGCGACAGATCTTGGGCATCACCTCCATCAGCGTCTTCACGTACTGCAGGATCGTGCCTTGCAGCTGCGGGAGAGACAGGCTGCGTCAGCCACTGGCCTCCACTCTGCGGGAGGCTGTGGCTGGTCAGTGAAGGGACCAGGGCTGCAGGATCACTTTGGCTGGGCGTGGAAAGAGAGAGCGGCCTTCAGCAGGTGTCTTTACGTGACTAAATTCATGTTCTGAACCACGACTCCGCTTTTCAGGGGCAAGTGACCCTAAGGAGTGGCAGGAAGAGGGGCAGAGCTCAAGCACCACATGTTCCCCACGGGATGCAACATCAATGTCGCAGCGCCACAGTTCTCACAGGATGGCCTCTGCTCCTCTGACGGGCCGAGTGCAGCGTAAAGACTGGCCCTTGTCACCTTCATGCTCCACCATGGTGAGGCCAGTAACCCCACACCTTCCAAGTTATCACGTGCGTTGGGGCAGAGTCCCCACCTGGGGGTCCTGGCAAAGCCTGGGTTGGTCCTGAGTCGTGGCTGTGCCAAATGACCAAGCTCTTCTATATTCAAATTAGTTTTTGATCCTGACCTATAGTGCTGTGGGTCTGCCAGTGTCTCAGAATTCTGTCAGCCTCTGCTTTGCATTAGGGTCAGGACTGTACCATCTCCTCACCGACTGCTGGAGCCGCTGGCCACAAACTCAGCTTCAAGCTTTCTCTCGGCTAGTGTGTAAAACATGGGGAACTCTAGAAAATCTGTACTTGGCAACAAAGAAGCTTAAAGAAATGGGCTCAGTTATGGAAAGATTACTAAAATATAAAAAGATTAAAGATTTGTAAAAGTTCCTGCTCACTGAATGACAGAAATTACATATAAAAAATCCCTTATAGCCTACAAGTGACATCACTCTCCCTATCTTTCCCTCCTCAAAGACTTGATGACTCTGAGGCCTCCAGGCAAATGGTGGCACTGACACAATCCTGGCCTCAGTCTAACTCAGCAGACATGTGTGCATCTGAATCCGTTGCTCACATTCCTAATGCCACCCGCCTCACAAAAAGGAATTAACCGCTGCGCTCGCTTCCACGTGCCAGGAGCCTTTGCGGGGCAGCGGCGTGGGAGGTGCTGGCACACCATCGCCTGGTGGCGGAGCCCTCCTGCAGCCCTGCCCCCACGGACACCCTGGAGCCTCCGCACACTTGTAGCTTCTCATGGCTGACACTTTCTCCTCCATTTCCCCCAACACAAACGTTTCTCTGAAATCTGTGTTTTACAAAAACTGGTATTTCACAAACGGAAATGGAGTCTTCAAAGAACTGCTCCCTCCCAGACACTTGCCAACTGGAATGCAAGGCGATGGAGGCAGCAGGCTCGCATGATGGCCCGGCCTCTGTCGTGTCCTCCTGTGAGTCTGGGCAAGGTGGTCCTTTGGGGTGGGGTGGGGGGGCTACTTCTCTATATAAAAAGCAATACAGTCCTCCCTCATTACCTGAGGGGAATTTGTCCCAGGACCCCCCATGGATACCCAAACCTGTGGGTGCTCACATCCCTGATATAAAAGGGCACCGTATCTGCAAATAACCTACACGCATCCTCCCACATGCTCTAAATCATCTCTAGATGACTTATAATACCTAATATAACATAAATGCTACATAAATAACTGATACACTGTTCTATTTTTAAAATTTTTTTTAAGCAAGTATTTTTGATCTGTAGATGTGGAACCCACAGATCTGGAGGGCCAACTATATTTTTTTACAAGGAAAGCAATATTTTGGTAATTAAAAACTCTTTCTGTGAATCAGTTAAAATGACATAGATCCATTCTCCCGAGTGTGGAGAGATGGGGGAGGTATCTAACTATATATGCTCTGAATTGTCTGAAGCTAAATAGAACCTACTCATCTGTCAGGGGATGACAGTCCAGACATAGAGAGAAGCTTGCCCCACCTCAGTGAATTCACACCGCATGAGGGGCATCCCTGGGACACTCACCAGGCTCTTGACGACCTTCAGCAGCTCCTCCATGACCACGGCGATGCCCTGATAGCCCAGCAGCCTGCAGATAACTTGAAAGTGCGGAGGCCCCACGAAGTTCCGGTAGCTGCCGTAAATGCTGGAGTAGGCCAGGTTCAGAGCCTGGGGAACAGGGGATGGGGTTTGCGACATGGTCCCCACACACATGCAGATGAAGAATCGCTGCATGAAGAGATCTTGCAACACACACGACACACACCTTCCGGTGAAGAGATCCAGTGAATTTACTGGTAAAATATACTGCCCTTATTGGGATTAGGGTCATGAAACCTGTTCAACCTGTTACGAAAAGCAAACTTGCTAAAATGGAAAACAAAACCATTTGGTGTTTCAACATTTGTTGAACTGCCAATTGGACAGAAGCCATCTTGAGGTCTGGGTGAAAAATGAACACATCTTTGAGTGTCACCCTGCCTCCCAGGGGAGATGCCCAAGGACAGACCTGACGGAACAGTGGGAGCTGCCTTCTCAGGGATGCACAGGGCGCACCAGGAGCTGGGAGAGCAGTCCCCACAGGATGGAAGGGCGAGAAAGGTGGTCAGGGTGGTTCCTGCAGAAGGACACCCCTAAGCTCATCGAAGGATGTGACAATGGGAAGATCCCCCATTCAGTGCTATAAATCTCCCTCTCAGCACTTCCTTAGCTGCACCAGCAAATTTCGATATGCTACATATTCGCACTTCTTTCAGGTCAGGTTCCCTTGCAACTTCCTCTTTGCCCCATGAATTATTTAGAAGTGTGCTAATTTCTAAGTGTTTGGAGATTTTCTTGTCCCCTTTTTGTTACTGATTTCTAGGGTGAGTTTACTGTGGTCAGAGAACACCCTCTGCGTGATTTCAATTCTTTTAATTTTGTTGAGGTCTGTTTTATGGCCCAGGATATGGTCTATGGTGGTCAATGTCCTATCGGCATTTGAAGAGTCTGTATCCTGCTCTCGGGGGGTGGAGCGTTCTACGTGTCACTCAGATCCTGTTCGCTGATGGTGCCATTCAGTCCTCTGCTGTTGCTGATTTGTGTGTAGTCCTTCTACCAATTACTGAGAGGAGTGTTGAAGTCCCCAACTCTAACTGTGGAGGTGTTTCACTTTTCCTTTCACTTATATCGGTTTTTGCTTCTAGGATAGAAGCTCTGTTGTTTGGTCATGGGAGCCCCCCAAAGAGAGTCTGAGTCTAAACTGATCATAATATACTCCACTGACCAAGTCAAACAACATTAAAGCACAGAAACCCTGCCAGGTGCCTGTCCCCTACCCAAGACCCACGACCCCATCAGACCTTAACCATATATAGGTCATTGGCTCTGACACCCCCTCCCTCCTCCAAGCTCCACCACTGTGGCTTTCAATGCTGGAATTTAGTGTAAGATTTTTGCTTGAGAATAGGTTCAATGCTTGAAAAGAAAAACATGAAAATCATCAGTGAAATCTAACGAGCTCGTGTTACAGGCGAGGAAATTCATTCCCAGAGCTGCCCTGACTGGCTCAGGCGCAGCTGTGAGAGGAGACGTCACTCAGCAAGCACGTGGTGCTGGCCTGCTGCCCGGCTGCCCTGTGGACCAGGCGCACCCCAAAGATGACACATCCCGGCGACAGCACAGCCAGAGTAACAAACAACAGATGTGACCTAACTACTCAGGAGGGGGAGGTTACAAATACCACACTGTCAAGCACTTAAACTTGGCAGAGGAAGCGCTCTGCACGCCCGGCCGCACAGCTCAGGTTGGGAAAGACTCTGCTGCCGGTGTCTCAGGCAGAGACCCAGCCTTGTCTGACAGCTGGGGGTGGGGGCGGGGGCGGCCACCCTGACAGAGCCAGCTCTGGACTCACCAGCCGTGCAACTTGGGTTCTCTAACTTTTACGACACTCTGTCTTCCTTAATGAATCGGGGACAAGCTTACTTATTTTACAGGAAAAAGAATTCCGGGAATGTGCTCAAGAGAGTGTTTTACTGAAAGCAGGCATTCCCTAAGTGGTGACGTTACCAAGAACGAAAAAGATAGGCTGGGTGCGGTGGCTCAAGCATGGAATCCTAGCACTCTGGGAGGCCAAGAAAGGAGTATTGCTTGAGCTGAGGATTTCGAGATCAGCCTGAGCAAGAATGAGAAAGACTCTATCGCTACTAAAAATAGCAAAAAAAATAGCCAGGTGTGGTGGCAAGCGCCTATAGTCCCAGCTACTTGGGAGGCTGAGGCAGAAGGATCGCTTGAGCCCAGAAGTTTGAGGTTGCTGCGAGCTATGATGATGCCACGGCACTCTAGCATGGGAAACAGAGCAAGACTTTTTTTTTTTTTTTTTGAGACAAAGAACCAAAAAAATAACATTCTCATAAATAGGTCACTCAACTTCATCAGTTTTATTCCTGCAAGACACTAGCCCTCGTTCACTGTTCATCAAGAAAGAACTAATCAGTTTTTTGAACTAGGTTCCAGTGTATTCCGTAATCACACAGACACAAACACGATAAATGACACTGCAGTAGAACAAACGGCATCTGACGTGCATGAGTGCTCACAAGTAGAAAGGCCGTTTTGAACACACAACTCTGACATCCTGTTTTGGCATTTGGCCTTTTTGGGGGGCAAGGAGGATTCTTAGAAAAGTGTCATATAATATGCATAAGATGAGCAGTCAATGTCAGTGTCACATGTATAAAAGTTCCAAACTGGCTGGGCACGGTGGCTCATGCCTGTAATCCTAGCACTCTGGGAGGCCGAGGCGGGTGGATCGTTTGAGCTCAGGAGTTCGAGACCAGCCTGAGCAAGAGCGAGATCCCGTCTCTACTAAAAATAGAAAGAAATTAGCCAGACAACTAAAAATATACATAGAAAAAATTAGCTGGCCATGGTGGCGCATGCCTGTAGTCCCAGCTACCCAGGAGGCTGAGGCAGGAGGATCGCTTGAGCCCAGGAGTTTGAGGTTGCTGTGAGGTAGGCTGACGCCACGGCACTCTAGCCTGGGCAACAGAGTAAGACTCTGTCTCAAAAAAAAAAAAAAAAAGTTCCAAACAATCTATTAATAACAAAAATCACTGGTTTAGGTTGTAAGAATAAAAATCACACAAATGATTTCTGAAACTGAGGCTAAAATCTGTAAGTGACAAACTTGGGCCCGTAACTCCTGGCACTGCAGGCTCACGTCTGTGTCTTACTGGAAGCAGACAAAAGGTCACCTCCCTGCATTCCTGGGGAATAAAAACGTGTCTCAAGGGCCTTTAACACCGTGATGGACGCACAGATGCACTTTGGACCATAAGAACGGACACGGCAGTGCTGTCCTGGGATCGCAAAAACCACCTGCATAGGTCTTCTCCCCTGCGTGCCATCCGCACAGCCCAATGCCAGCAGATGGTCGACCCAGCCCCTGGCTCCTGCAGTCACCCTCACCAGACTTGGGTGGCGGGGAAAGGGCGCAGGCACGGGGGGAAGAGCCTCATGGCCTGGCTCCTCCTCCGCACAAACTATTCTCTCATCATCGGTGCGTAACAGAAACTTATTTTGTGGTCACGCCTCAAAGAGGGATTAAAAATTTCAGCGTCAAGCCGAGCCCATAGCAAATCTTTCAGTTCACAGAGACCCAAGAAATTTTTATCTTACTCGCCAAACTTTCTAGTCCTATCTTGTAAAACTGCACAGAAGTTAATTTAGTTCTAACAGAGTAAAACACTACATTTGACTTCCAGAAAGGAGGCAGCAGAGCACTTATTCTAATCCTTTTTAAGAATATCCTTTTGATTTGCATATAACATTATGTCATAAAAGTCAGCCTCAATCCTTCTTCAACCTTATGTAATAAAAGTCAGCCTCGATCCTTCTTCAACCCTCCCTAGCACCGTGTGACTTAGGTGTTGGGTGGGGTGGAGCTGAGTCCTCCAGCCACCCACAGGGTTTCAGGTGAGGAGCAGCGCCCCAGCAGCTGTACCGCACACCCTGCCCAGGTGTGGCTGGGTCGCTGCGTTCCTGGCACCTGGCTACCTGTCCAACAGTCTCCTGGAGGCGTCAACGCAGGCGCAGGAAGCCCAGGACGACACAAAGCCACTCACATCCTATGGGCTCTGGGTAGTGCCATAGGATGGAGGAGGGTTTGAGAGGCAGCACATCTTTGAGAGGCCGGTCTCGGGAATGGACAATGTCACTGTCCCAGCGTCCCCCAGGCATCCCTGGGACCATGTGTCGGCAAGGCTCCCAGCCCCAACACTTCTCTGTCCCTGCCCCCACAGCGAGGCAAGGCTGTCCCTTGCCAGCCTGCAATCTCAAATTTATAAAAGAACCCACTACCTTCAAACATCAGCAACCTTATGGAGTAGCTTAAGTGTATTATATTTTTAATTGCCATCGTAGAGTTGCTAAAAAATAAATCAACCTCTAGAAAACTAAAGAGAACATAATTTTTCAAGACCATAATCTTTGCAGGGTCACCCTCACCCCACCCAAGCCCCATTTCCCCAAGAGGAGTCTCACGCCTCCTTCGTCACATCCCTGCCCACAGTTCATACACATTGAAAAGAGGCCCCCTCTTCAGGGACACTCTGGTCACAATGAAAAGACCACCCGCAGCCTGCCACTCCCTCTCACCGAAGGGTGGAGGGCATGGGCAGTGTGTGCCGATATCTGTCACTCCACAAAACCAGTGCCCTGACTGGGATGTCTGCCCTGTTCTAAGGTGCAAACGCCCCCATCTCGGCCAAGATCAAGCCACTGCCTGCAGGGAGAGGAAGGCAGGCACCAAGGGCACCGAAAGGAGAAGCTCTCTGAAGAACAGAGGGCCAGAAAGCAATGTGTTAGAAACATCTTTTCCACTCCTCCGACCCAGCTGGTGCCCTGAAGTGCCCAGTGCCAGGTGCAGGCTTCATGGGGCAGCAGGGCTCAGGTCCTCCCCGTCGTGGATCGACGACGTCCTACGGTCGCCCTGAGACACCTCGCTCGCTTTGCACTTGTCTCACTCACTTCCTTAAGCGTTCAGCTCCCCACCAGTGAGGACACTGACATGCTGCTGAGTGCTGGTGGCCTGCCCCCAGGATTGTGGGTCCAGGACACTCCCGCCAGCAGCAAGGACGGCAGTGTCATCCTTCAGGAAGCAGCTGCGTGCTTTAACCTACTCCTGTTATGGGCAAGATAATTCTCACCTGTTATTATTTCAGACAGCCACTGCGGAGGCCGGATATCTACTTTTATTTTTTACTATGTGTTTGCAGAGTGTCTGCTCATTTCATCTGTCTTGTTTTTTGCTACAGGGTGTTTATCTTTTCCTTATTGAATCACAAGAGTGCTTGAAATATTGAGACACTAACCCTTAATGACACTCAGACTTGTCAATCCATCCTTTCCTCGCGTGGACGTTCGTCCTATCCACACAGAGCTCAGACGCAGCAGCGTTCTGGGATGTCGCTCACCAGCTTTTCTCCTGCCAGCTGTCAGGTCTCCTCTGCGCCCACCTGGCCCCTCAGCACCTGCCCTGGCATTGCTCCTGGACAGCTGTCCTGGGCCCACCTCAGGAATGTGCTTGAGCCTCTTCCACACACTTTCTTGCCTCGGTGTTTTACAACTTTCACATCTCCCAATGATCTCATTTATTTTAGAGCCAGGATGAAGCCAGACCTGGCCAGACCCCTGCCACGAGGCCAGAGTTACCCACAAGCTAGTTCTAGAGACAGGCTTTTGGGGGTTGGTTGATTAGTTTCTGTTTTAAATTACTGCTACTTTTCAGGAAGATGATAATGGAATGGAAGGAAAAAAATAACATTTTATACATGGCAGGATACATTTAAGTCATTGCAACTAAACTAATTTAAATTAAACTTAAAAAATGTGCTTCACTATGAACTTAAAAATCATAACACACAAACACAAGAGAACCTACCTTGGATCCATGCAAATACTGGGGTTGCGCATTAGGCTGCTTGTCTCTTTGAAATTCCTGAGAAAATGGCAATACTGTCCGAACAAACCTAAACAAGAAAGGTTTTTAAAAAGAAGAAAACCAAATTTAATGGTATTTCTTTAAAATTCAGAACTTTTCCATGACCCATCTATTAAAGCTTCCTCCCAGTCAATGATATAATCATCAAATAGGGAAATTCTAACAAATCAAAAAGCATAGAATGAATTAGATATAAATTCTCTGAAATATGATAAATGTACCCAAAGCTCAAGAGCCACAGCGGGAACACCTGTTATCCTTCAACCTGTAAACAGAGTCTCCACACTCAGGGAAGGAGTCTGGTCTGTCGGTACCAGAACCATCTCAAGCCCAACCCAAGCCGTGGATAACTGGTAACAACTGGGCTTTGCTGCACCCACAGACACTGCAATGACAGTGGGGACCCTAGCCTGCCCAGGGAACGGTGACGTCCCAGTTACTCAGATCACTGGTCGGGGGTGTCAAGGGGGAACAAATTGAAGTATTTATGACCATACTTGCCTAGTCTGGAGACTGTGTCTTGATAATGGATTAGGGGCCATTTAAAATCAAATGCTTAAGTTTTCAAGCAGAAACATCAAACATGGCTAACACTTTTAAATTGGAAGCATTCATGTAAACACATAAAACTTTTGCAAAGAATCGTGATAAACAAAAACACCTGGATCTGCTAATTATTTAACTCTAAGAACTCGATCAACTCATAATTGCACTTTAGGAAATAAAAAACGATGCATTTGTCCAAACACTGCTGTCACACAGAACGTGAACGTCTGCGGGGAGCTAGCAGCACACACGGCAGAAGCACTGATGCAGACAGGACGCTCGGGGCAGAAGCGCAGCCACTGGGCCCGCTCCCACCACCGCAGCGCTGCTGCCGCACCCGTCAACTGCGGGCCTCCAAACCACCTGGATTAGTGCCCCAGCAGAAATTCGCACGTCTCCCTCCTCGTGTGTGCTTTCTTCAAAAGCACTGTGCTGTCAATCAACTAGTATCCCTGGCATCCCACAACCCTCGGTGTTGGAGGGGTGTGTGTCTGTCTGCACGTGTCTGTCACTGCTTGTCTATTCGTGTGTATACATCTGCCTATGTATACGCGTCTGTGTCTGGGTATGAAAACGTGTTATATCTGGGAGTCTGCATGTGCGCGCACCTACGTTCACACACCCGCTCCAGGAAGGGCATTCCATCAGGAGGCACCAATGTCAGGGTGATGCTCAGAAGAGGGAACCCCATTCCCCAGAGGCTCCTGGGCACTGCTCACACTGTGGGACGCCCCTGAGAGCATCACACCTGCAACGCTGCACCCATAGGTCGGCCTCCGTCCACCTCTGACAGGGACGGGGGCAGGAAAAGACAGCAAATTGAAAATCAGAGCAGAAATCAACTGAAGGGAGCCAAGTACCAAGGTGAGACACATACTTACCTGACAAGTTTTTCCTATGTCTGCTTAGAGCACAATATGTTTTCCCAAAGTAAGAATGTTTAAAATGCCTTTTAAATTTTAAAAGCAGGCCTTAATTATTTTGTCTATAATATAGGTGAAATATAAAACTTTCAAAGTAATGTAGTTACTCATGTTATTAAAAATTTTAATCAATATACATGTATACAATACATATATTCTATATTTCTCAACAATACACTTCTACAACTTTTTCTTGGTTTATCAAATTTAGATACTTACTGATTCCTGGGCAGAAGGATTTGGCTAGCCTTTGACCCCCGTTCTGGGAGGCACCCTCTATTTTTTTTTATTTGTTTATTTTTTATTTTGTTTTTTGAGACAAGAGTCTCACTCTCTTGCCTGGGCTAGAGTGCCATGACATCAGCCTAGCTCACAGCAACCTCAAACTCCTGGGCTCAAGCGATCCTCCTGCCTCAGCCTCCCAGATAGCTGAGACGACAGGCACATGCCACCTTGCCCAACTAATTTTTTCTATTTTTAGTTGTTTGGCCAATTTCTTGCTATTTTTAGTAGAGACGGGGTCTCGCTCTTGCTCAGGCTGGTCTCGAACTCCTGGGCTCAAATGATCCACTCACCTTGGCCTCCCAGAGTGCTAGGATTACAGGTGTGAGCCACCGCGCCCAGCAGGGAGGCACCCTCTAAACCCTTGGAATTTCTGCATGACAAGAGTGACTCTGTTATTTATGAAGGGGCCATGGGACCACACCTGAGTTTATACCACCCCTGTGACTACAGGGCTGCGGCTGTCAGCCTGGTGAACTCAGTGGGGAGGGGCTGGAGGCTGAGCTCAGTCACACGGCCAATGATTCAGTCAATCCTGCCTATGTAACGAAGCCCCAGTAAAAACTCTGGACACCAAAGCTCAAGGGAGCCCCAGGCTGGCAGTGCTCTTCAAGCATTGTCTAACCTTGATGCTGGGAGAGAGACATGTCCCTGAGGACAGGGGAAGCTGTGCGTGTGGCGCCCTCCCAGACTGCACCCTGGGCATCCTTCCAGTGTGTATCCTTTTGCTACAATTAACTGTAATGGTAAGAAACAGTGTGCTCAGTGAGCGCTGGGAGTCTTCCACCTGTGGGGCTGGAGGAGGGCAGTCCCTGAATTTGTAGCCAGCTGGTCAGAAGTGAGGGTGGCCCTGGGGACCCCAAATTTGTGGCTGATGTCTGCAGTGAAAGCAGTCTTGTGGGAGGGCTGTGCCCTCAGACTTTCCAGTTTGGCAAGCTCATTGCAGTCCTCTAATGGGAAAACTAAGGTTCGGCACCAACATACTAAGTCCCCACTCCACACTTCTCAGCTAAATTGAGACTCAGTTTTCACTTTATTATGACCCTGATCAGTGCTGGGCCCAGGAGTGACCTTCCTTTGTGTTTATCCTGCTTGAAGTTCACTGAGCTTCTTATATACATAGGTTTACAGTTTTCATCACATTTGGAAATTTTAGGCCATTAATTTTCAAATATTCTTTTCTGCCCATCCGTAATCTCTTACTAGGGTTCCAATTACAAGCATATCAGAACACCTGATACTGTCCCGCAGTTCAGAGGCTCCTCTCATTATTTTCATCTTTTTTCCTCTCTGTACTTCAGTTCAGATATTTTCCATTGTTATAATTTCAAATTCACTGAACTTTTGCGAAGTTTAATCTGACATTCAGCCCAAGTGAAATTTTCATTTCAGATACTGCATTTTTCCGCTTTAATTCATTTTGTTCTTTTATGTAACATCCCTTCATCTCTGCATTGTGTTGGTTTTCCTTTGACTCCTGGAGCATACTTACAATTGCTGTCTGAACATCCTTGTCTGCTAATTCCATCATCGCTGTCATTTCTGTTTTCTACTGATTGATTTTTCTCCTGGTTATGGGTCACATTTCCCTGTTTCTGGAATATCTAGTAATTCTTGATTGGGTGCTGGGCATGGTAATGTCATATTGTTGAGTGTCTTGACTTTATTACTGTCTTTTTAGAGTACTGAGGTTGGGGTGGGGGCAGGCAATTCAGTTACTTGTGAATCAGATGGATCCTTTCACGATTTGTTTTTGGCACATCTAGGGGTAGGTGAAATATTCGATACCCTAGAGCTGGTTTAGCCCTGCTACTATGGCAAGACCCTTCTGGCACCTCTATTGCATGCCTGGGTGTTCAGTGGGGTTTCTCCACTCTTGCTGGTCGGAACCCATATGACTCCTGGCCCTCTGTGAGCTCTGGGAATTACTCAGCTTACAGCTGTCTGCACAGGTACAACTGAGGGGCACCTATGGTCTATGTTGGTGTCAGGAGCTGTTTTTCTGCGAAGCTCCTTCCTCTCCCGTACTCTACCCTGCAAATTCCAGTCGTCTCAGCTTCCCCAAATTCCAGTCTGTTTCCTCTACTACAAAAGACCTCTAAGTTGTACTTGGACTGCCTCTGTACTTGGTCCAGAAAGTAATTCCATGCAGAAAGCCAGGGAGATCACAGGGCTCATCTCATTTGATTCCTTTGTGTAATGTTGTACAATGTGCAACGTTGATTCATCTATTTTGTCCAGTTTTTCATTTGTTCAAGAGAGAGTAAGTACAGACCCTGTTACTCTATCATCTCAATAACTTTTAAACACAATATTTTGACTATATACTCTAAGTCTAAAGACAAAAAGCTGAAAACAAATACTGAACTGCAGTTGGTAGCTTTATGTTTCACAGTGGTAAGGACGAGCAATTCTGAAACTACTTTTTGTGTTTTCTAGACAATGAGAAAATTGTAAACAATTTAGCAAATGAATAAATATATTAATAATAATGAAACAAGGATTCTCAGTGCCTAAGAAAGTTGGAAAAATGGAAAGAGAGAAGACTAGAATGAACTCTGCAGTGATGAACCTGAACTGGAGATAGTATGAACTCATGGTTTTAACATACAAATAGCAATACAGAAATACACATACACACACACACGCTATGGTTGAACTGTGTCTCCAAAAAAGATACACTGAATTCCTCACCCCTGGTACCTCAGAATGTGAATTTATGTGGAAATAGGGTCATTGCAGCTGTAATTCGTTAAGATGAGGTCACACTGGAGTAGTAGGATAGGCCCTTAATCCAATATGACTGGTGTCCTCACAAGAAGAGAAGAGACACAGTGTCAGACACACAGGGAGAACATCGAGCGAAGATAGAGACAGAAACTAGAGTGACGCAGCTGAAAGCCAGGCAACACCAGGGGCTCATGTCTACCACCAGGTGCTAGGAAGAGGCAAGAAAGGATGTACCCAGAGCCTCAAAGGGGGCATGGCCTGCTGACACCTTGATCTCAGACTTCTGGCCTCCAGAACTGTCAGAGAATAAACTTCTGTTGTTTGAAGCCACCCAGTGTGTGGTGCTTTGCTACGCCTGCCCCAGGAAACCAATCCAGTACAGTGCAAGTATTTCCTAGCTCTGACCACCAACAGGGTCTAGAAACAGTGACAAACCCAGTGGCAACGAGCATACCTGTGCCCAGACTTAGTTCTTAAATATCATCGTCCTCTAAAGAAAATCCTTGGAGAAATGACAGCTGCCAAAGATCAAGGGGAAGAATGCAAGACGGGCCTGGAACATCTCGTGGTGCAGAAGTTAGTGCATTGCCGAAAGAACGATGGCGACAGGCCAAAGGAGACAGAACCCCACCTGAAGGCGCCCCTGCCCCAACTGGGCTGATCTGAGCCTCAAAAGTCAACTAATGATAGTAACAGATTATGACCGTGAGTTAGAATCTCTGAGTCCCTGCTGATAATAAACAAATGAGCAAATAATAAATAAACCTCAACTACATGAGGCCCTAGAGCAGCCACCAGGTGCATCGTGCCAGTCTGCGAACAGGAGCATTCCCCACACCTCCTGGGGTTGTGGGGAAACACACAATCACAGAAGAAGTGCCTTGCTGTCCCTCCCTGTGGCTGTGATGTAAGTGCAGACTCAGGATGAAGGACCAAGTGCTGCCTGATGCCCCATAAAGAGGTGAGCGACAAGCCCCAGGGAACCGTGTGCTGAGCAGAGGAGCGGCAGGAGGGGCGGGCCGAGGGATTGTCCTGGGCAGCTAATTCCAGTGTGGCAGGGCAGGGCAGGGCGGCATGGCGTCCTCCTCCACACCTCGCCTCACCGTGGGCAGGGCTCTCAACCGGGGAGACCCTGGCACTGTCTGGAGAGTGTCACAACTGGGCCACAGGGAGGTGCCTCTGGCATCTGGTGGTGGAGGCCCCACCGAGAACAGTCGGCAGTGCCTCGCTGGGACTGCAGGGAGGGCAGCAAAGCTGTCGAGAGGCTTCCTGCGAGCAGAGCACGATGTGTGGCTCTGTCTCCAGCAAAGCCCGAGTCACACCAGGGGCCTGCAACCTGCCCCTGAAAGAAATGGGGAGAAGAAACCCTTCGCAGCTTCCTCCACTAATGATACACACAGCTGTGTCTCCACTGCTGGGGACGAAGGAGGGTGCCAGCTGCCCAGCTGGTGACCACACACAGCTCTAGCGCACCAGCCACCTTTGTCGTCAAGGTTGTTTTCCATGTTCAGGTACTGGAGCCACTTGCACCAGGCCAGCCGGAGGAGTCCCACACCCACATGGTGCTCGGACAGCTGGATTGAGCTGCGGCGACCGGCAGCACGGCACAGCAGGGCTGCAGGGGGCGCTCTCTCTCATGTTTGCTTTCACAAACAAAAGGCATGTGTCCCTGATGCCTCCAGAGACAGGCTTGTCATCCCTTCTGGAGAACACACGTGAGCACAGTCACCATGAGAAATGAGAGTGAAGTAATGACACAGCATTACGGGCTGGATGGTGTCCACCCTGCCACATGACATGACAGCTCCATGCAATGCCCACGGCCTCACATGGCATCAGGCAACACCTTGGGAGGAAGGCGCCTGGTGCAGACACCAGCTCGTGGGTGCTGGGAGGGAATTCAGGCAGGAGCCGCCACGCCATGAAGTAGCCCTTACTAAGGCCCCCGTGGCTGTGGACCCCTGGATGATCCACGGACGTGCAGAGAAGAGCACGGTTGGGGTAAGTCCCTTCTTCACCTGACAGAGAGAAAGGCAGTCGACACTATGTGACCAGACACCCTCAGAGAGTAGCACAGGTTGTTTTTCTGCCTAATTTTCCGAGAAGTTGTCACTGACATCAGGAACATCACGCTGTGGCAGTTCACCCGTGCAGGTGGCTCTCACATGAGTCATTCTTCTGTTTCTCGGGAACTATCACCACCAACCTAAACAAAGAGGATCCTGCGAACACTGGGCATGACGCGAAGGTGTTTCCAGAAAGTAGCCCAGGCGAGCATGTGTCCCTGCTAGCACAGAACTACCCTCTTGACGGAACACGAGCAAAGAGAACGTGTGCGCACCAGCATGCCCGATAACCTAATTTTTGCAGAACACAAGAAGCGTACGTGTATTTCACTGCATGGCAAGAACTCTAGAAGACAGATACATTTTTATAAGGGAAACCTCTGGGGCTTTCACTAATTTTGTCGTCATCTATGTATCTATGATTTCTAATTTTTCTACAATTACGAGTCATTATTGGTGTAATAAAAATATTTTTTCAATTAATTCAGACAAACAGATATCTTAAAGATAAGTTAGATAAGGATGACAGTCTTTAAAGTCTAGTTTCTGTGGACCACGGCCAGCCAGTCCCAGGAGGCCACCTGAGCTGCGGAAGCCAACCTGGGCCCCTCCGTCCGCAGCCTGGAGCCCAAGGCTGCGTCCCGGACTCCCCTGCCCAAGGAAAGGCATTAGCCGCCCGGCCGTCAGAAGAGCTGCCTGGCAGATGACATCCACAGCCCCAGCACCCTGAACAGACCAGGCAGCAACATCAGGCCACAGGACAGCCCCTTCTCTCCTCAGCTGCTGGAGCTCGGCTCTCCCATCTCTCACGGCACAAAACTCTGGGCCTGAAAGTCAGCAGCAATTCGGCCCATACACAGTGAGCTGTTAAGATCCAGTAGCAAAGCAAACGCACTTACTTTTAAGAGTGCTCCTAATGCACACGCGTGCGCGCGCGCGTACACACACACACACACACACACACACACACACACACACGCTCCTCCTCTACCTCTGGGGGGCTCAGTAGGCCAGGCACTTGTTTGGAGCCCCCTTCACCCTCTGGGCTGTTGGTGTCGGTGGGAAGGCCTGGTGTGCAACACGCATGCAGACACACGTCCCTGGCACGTGCAGACACCGTGCAGGAACCAAGCTCAGCGCACAGAGATCACGAACCTCACCCAGACAGGCCGGGTGTGCGGAGGCCCAGGCAGGGCAGTGCCGGGACTCAGGCTGTAGTACGAGGCTGAACCACATGGCACTGCTGGTATGAGCCCTTTCACCCACCACACTAGTAGGATGGGAGGTGGGTGGGAGGGTGGCTCTCACACGCCCCAACATCCCAGCGTGGAAACATGAGGAGCAAAGTCACCACCGCCACTCCCACAGAGGCAGACTCAGAATCAGTGGGCGCAGCCCCAGCAGCTGCCCTCACGTGCACCACAAGACTCCGTGCTGAGCCACAGCAGGTGCCCTGCGTAGGAACATGGGTGCCCTGCGTAGGAACATGGCTCCCCTGCCCACCTTCCACCCTGGCCTAGTCACTTCATCTCCATATGCAGGGGGCCACGACCGCCTGCCTGAGGGCTGGCCTGGGGCCACACCTGCTAACAAAGAGACCAAGCGGCCCTGAGTACGCTGCATGTGGGAAATAATGGGGAGCAGATGGTGGGGGACAATGACCCAGCTGGCCGGTGGCAGCCTGAGGAAGCGGGTCGCTGAGCCCCTCCTGCACAGAGGCTCCTCAGCAGGGGCACCCAGGAGCGCCCGTGGGGCAGGCATGCTCACCGGTTGGTGGAGCCATTGTAGCAGTAGTTGGGCAGGAAGTCATAGTTGAGCTCCCAGAAGACGTGGAGGGTGATCCTCCCGTAGGGCGCGGACACGTTGTGGTTGGCCTCCCGGAACATGGCATCAAAGCTGTCCAGCGTCAGGTACCGGCTCAGCAGCTTATGGGTCATGCGGTTGATTTCTAAGAGGCCGTCCAGCTCCTGTGGGGCCACAAAGACAGGGCATGGGGACAAAGCCGGGCTAGGCAGGAAGGAGCCCCTCCATCCGATCCCCACCCAGGCCTCGCGGTCCTGGGGGGGCTGCACTGAGGTGGCCGCCAGGCAGGGTGAGCTCCGGCAGGCGATGTGAGCTTGCCTCCCATCATGCCCTCCACACCGTCCCCGAAGCGCTCCTTCCTTGCTGCGGTTGCCCCCACTGGGCCACTGTCCTTTCTCTACTGCAGTCACCTCCAGCCACCCCACGGGGCAGAGTCCACAGGTCCCTCCTAGCACAGCACTCGAGTCTGCGGCACAGCCGGCAGCCGCGCTTCCTCAGGTGTTGGCTGGGTCAGCTTTCCCGGGAGTCACTTAAAAGCACGGGCGGGGTGGGAGAGCCGGCAAACACGTCCTCACGGGCCCTGCAAACCCACACACTGCCCGCCCACGGGACTCGCCTCGGCTGCGCCGTCCGAGGCGGCAGCCAGTGCTGGGAGCGCGGCTGCTCCTGCCTGAGACGCGCCGAGTGTGGCGCCCACGCCAGACCTCCCACTCCGCACGAGAGACAGCACGTCACACCTCTCCCAATAACACTGCCATAGGGGTAACACATTGAACTGGTAATGTGGGAATATATATGGCTATTGAAATATATTATTATTAATAAAAATAAATCCGCCTATTTATTTTTCCTTTTCTAATGTGACTACAAGTAAATTTCAAATTATGGATCTGGCTTGCGTTACATTGCTATCGAACAGCACTGGTCTGGGTCAGAGCCTCGACCAAGGATTTTAATCAAAACCATATCTGGCCAGTAGCAGCTAAAACACCAAGGCCCTGTACCAAACCAAGCTTGTGAAGAAAGGCGGCCGTGCGTCTCTGAGGCCCAGCCTGTCTGGTTCTGAGGAAGAACATGAAGAGCCCTGCTCCCCGGCAGAGATGTTCCCAAGGCCAGCACTACCCTCCCCATGCCCGACGCCCACCCTGACTTCTGGCTTCTTCCTCTCCAGTGAGGAACAATCTTCCTGAGTCCTTCCCGTTCATTACCATCTGTCTTCAGCCTTTATTCTCAGAAGATCAACTTGGCTGCTACAAAATCCTCGCTCACACTTCCTTTCCTCGGCGCTGGCAAATGGCTAAGGAAACTGGATCGTCTTTTCCTAACTGCTTTGCTCAGACAGCCAAAGGAATTTTTCTTCTCCTTAAAGTCCAATCCTTTTACTGCAGTATTTCTTGGTGTTGGCCAGTTTGGGTGAATTTTCCTGGGGTAGATGATATATGCTTTTAATATACACTTTCAAGTTTTCTTTTATCAATGTTTTCTTGAAAAACACATTTTAATCTTTGTTCCATTTAGTTGCCTTGGTTTTCTCCTTCAGGGACCTCTATGATATGCATGTTGAATCTTTGTTTTCTATCTTCCATATCATTTTCTCTCAAGTTCTTTTTCTCTGTCTTCATTTCCTCTTGATTTTAAAAATTTTCCTCATTTTATTTCTCTTAAAGTCATCATCCATTATGTTCTTTCTGGTGTAGTCTTCATTTCTGAAACAATTTTTCTTTAGTTTTTAATTCTTTCATCAGTCTGTCACCTCTCTTCTCAAAGCTTTCTTTTCTCCCATCATCTTATTTCTAGATTTTTAACAATTCTGTTATGTTATTCTTTCACAGCAACTACCACTTTCTTAATTTCTTTTAGCTCACTTTGAAAGATTAGGTTATGGTTTTCCTAAGTTTTACGGACATCTTTCTGTCTTGCTCTCATTGGCTGCAGGGGCACTATCGTGCATTTACAGTCTCTTTATTGCATAACGCATCCCAACGGGACTGGACCACGATCCTCATCTATGCTCAACTGCTAAGTGGAAAAAGCTTTCTCACGCTTTGGGGGCGGCAGGGTCTGGCCAGGGCCAGCAGCAGCAGCAGCTCCTGCTTTCTGGGATCTGTCTCTCCTGCTCTCCTCCCTTAACTCTGCCTGCACTCTTCTTCGCCCTGAAACCCCTAACCATCACCAGTCTGCTGGTAGCCCCAGCAGCTTTTCCCACATGCAGCGCTCTCTGAAGGGGATTTTGATTCATTTTGAATCTGGAGTTTGCAGGGCCAACTGTTCTAGCCCCATCAAACCTTCTCTCATCTCAGCATCCTTGAAGAGCTCTGTGGAAGTTATTCTCCGCAGGCCATGAACGGCAGCAGGAGCCGGAGCCATCAACCCAGGCTCCCCGAATTCAACGGGGCCAAGTCATGGGCGGCACAGCCAAAGTGTGTTCAAACGGCTTCACCCACAAAGATCCTGGCATTGGCTAATGGATTGTGGTATCCCCAGGGCTGGAACGACAATGAGCTTTCGAAAGTCTTATTTGATCTGGATAAAGGGGAAAGCAAGCTCTAGGTCGACTAAACACAAGTGTGACATGAATCATCACAAAGGAAATCTCTGCTCCTCAACCAGTTCCCAGACCCAGAGCTCCATGGATGAAGGGGAGGAGGATCTTCTGACACTAACAAAAATGCATAATGCAAATCCTCCCACCACGTTCCTCTGATGGAAATGGATGTGCAGCCACTTATTGCAATGACTGACCAGTCCGCTCAGGACTACTGGACACTCGCTCTGAACTGACATTAATTCCTAAAGATTCAAAGACACTGCGGTCCAGAGCCAGGGGAGGCCTAGGGATCAGCGGAGCTGGGGCGCGGGTCCCTCCCAGAGAACTGACATTCGTGAGTGCAGGGCCATTGTCTTCTTCCAGCGTCAGGTTTCTCTGATATCATCTCTTCAGACAAGGCTTCTGCGACCTCCCTCTCCTCTCCTGTGACACTCCAATCACGCCACATCTTTCTGCTGGGTCCCGTGGTTCTTAAGCTCCTTTCTGTTTCGGCAGTTCTTACTTTTCTCTGTTTCTGAGTATGCACATTTTCTAATGTCCTGTTTTACTATTCCTTAATCCTGTCTTCTCCTGTGTTCAAATTGCCATGAACTCATCAAAAATATTATGTTCTTTACATCTAGAATATCTATTTCATTCCTTTTTATAGAATCTAATTCTCTGAAGAAATTCTCCCTTTTTTTGTCTCTTTTATCCATCTTTTCTCCATCTTCTCGGGCATATTAATCGTAATTATTGTAAGTCCTTGTGTGCTAACTCAATATCACCAAAGAGTTTGTCTCTACTGTTGCTTTTTTCTCTTGGTGTGGTCATAAGATCTTGTCTCTTATGTCTGATAATTTTGTTTTTTTAAGACACAGGATCTCACTGTGTCTCCCAGACTAGAGTGCAGTAGCATCATCATGCTCACTGTAACCTGAAAACTCCTGGGCTCAAGTGATCCTCCTGCCTCAGCCTCCTGAGCAGCTGAGGCAGGCACATGCCACCATGCCTGGCTAATTTTATAAAATTTTTTTGTAGAGATGAAGTCTCCCTATGTTGCCCAGGCTGGTCTCGAACTCCTGGCCTCAAATGATCCTCCTACCTCAGCCTCCCAAAGTGCTGAGAGTATTGGCGTGAGCCACCTCGCTGGCCTTGTCTAGTAATTTTTAATTGAGTGCTGAGCATTGTACATTTAAAAAACTCTGGAGGCTCCCAAAGCAGTTGTTTCCACAAAGCATATCCCCTCTTTTCCCCACAAGGCAGACAGGGCTGGGGCCTGTGCACACGCTCCAGTTTGGGTGGGATTGAGTCCAGGCTGGGCTGTAGTTCTGTTGAGACCCTGTCTAACTCTAACATGGCCTCTAGGAAGCCTTCATTTCAGAGCCCAGCAGGTCTCTGAACCTCAGCACGAAGAGCCTGTGGGGGGTTCTGCTCTGCTTTTGGAGATCCTACCGCCTAGCTCTTCAGCCTGCCATCTTGCACAGCACCAGAATTTGGCAGATTCCTCCAGTGGGACCTGGCCACCCAGTCTGCAGCATTGTCCCTTGAGGCCTCACAACCTACCAAAGCTCTGCACCTTTGCTGTCCCCTTGGCAAGGCTTGCGACCTGGGCCGCACCCAGATTCCCAGCCCCTGGCCTTTTGAGAGCTGGCAAATGCCCCACGGAAAAGCAACTATGAACCCTCAGCTGATTGCAAAGAGGTTTGCCCTTTACGGAATTACAATCCCTGAGTCCGTACGGATTTGCAGTTCTGGAGGGTCTTTCCCATTGATTTTTGTATTTTATTCAGCCTTTCTGGTTGTCCTCCACAGGACTGCCGGCCCACCTAGAGCCACCACACCCTACTCCAAGTCAGAGGTTTTGAGTCTCGTGGAAGTACCTTCTGCTCTTCCTCTCCGGGTGAGGCTGCCCCCGCAGGGTGACTCTCTTGCCCACCTGTCAGTGTAAGCACTCTATTCTGTCCAGGTCCTCTGGCCTTTTTTTTTGCTTTTGCTTTAGAAAAAAGGCCACACTGCTTCATTTATGATGGATACATAACATACTCTATTAGGTTGGTGCAAAAGTAATTGCGGTTTTGGACTGTGAATTTTAATTCATTATAACTAGGCTCAAACACATCTTTATTAACTGAAATAGGAACCATTACAATCAACACATTATTGCCAATGAGAAATAAGTTTGTTTATTCCTATAGTGTAAAAATCCATGCTTCGGGATTCAACAAACTCTTGGAAAGCATTCTGCATCCTGCTGGTTGTGGAAACATTTTCCCTGCAAAAAGCTGTCGAGATGCTTGAAGAAGTGGTAGTCAGTTGGTGAGATGTCAGGTGAATACGGTGAATGAGGCAAAACTTTGTAGCCCAATTCATTCAACTTTTGAAGCATTGGTTGTGCAACAAGCGGTTGGGTGTTGTCATGAAGAAGAATTTGGTCCTTTCTATTAACCAATGCCAGCTGCAGGTGTTGCAGTTTATGGTACATGTCATTGATTTGCTGGGCATACTTCTCAGATGTAATGGTTTCGCCGGGATTCAGAAAGCTGTAGTGGATCAGACCGGCAGCAGACCACCAAACAGTGATGATGACCTTTTTTTGGTGCAAGTTTGGCTTTGGGAAGTCCTTTGGAGCTGCTTCTTGGTCCAACCACTGAGCTGGTTATTGGTCATACAAAATCCACTTTTCATCGCACATCAACAATCCAATCAAGAAATCGTTTGTTGTTTCATACAAGAAGAGAAGATGACACTTCAAAACAATGATTTTTTTTATTTTCGGTCAGCACATGAGGTACCCACTTATTGAGCATTTTCACCTTTCCAACGTGCTTCACACGCCCAATGATAGAATGGTCAACCTTGAGTTCTTCAGCAACTTCTCGTGTAGTTACAAGAGGATCAATTTCGACGATTACTCTTAACTGGTCGTTGTCAACTTCCGATGGCCGGCCGCTGCGCTCCTCATCTTCAAGGCTCTCATCTCCTTTGCAAAATTCCTTGAACAACACTACACTGTGCGTTCATTAGCCGTTCCTGGGCCAAATTCGTTGTTCATGTTGTGAGTTGTCTCTGCTGCTT